AAAAAAAAAAAAATGTCATCTTTGTTTGAGGGCTGGGTAGAGATTTTATCTTTTTTGAGGAACCAGTTTCATCCTGAACAGTTGCCTTACTCCACTGTGAGAAAAGTTTGGGAGATTTGAAGATGCTCACTTTTCCCCACTTCTGCCTTCAGATATACATCAAACAAATCTGTGAGGATGTCTTCTCTGGTCCCCTGAACTCTGCTGTGCAGCTTGCTGGACTGAGAGTGTTAACAAACATGACTGTTACCAATGACCACCAACACATGCTGAAAAGTTACATTACAGACCTGTTCCAGGTGTTACTTACTGGAAATGGAAACACGAAGGTAAAAAAAAAAAAAGTGAAGTGGTTATTACTTGAAGGTCAAAGAGCTATTGCATTAGTTTATTATTATTATTATTATTATTATTATTATTATTATTCTAATTTGTGCATTAAACTTGTTAAGATTGACATCAAAGCCAGGCACAGTGGCTCATGCCTATAATCCCACCAGCTTATGAGGCTGAGGCAGGAGGATCATGAATTCAAAGCCAGCCTCAGCAAAATCGAGGTGTTAAGCAACTCAGTGAGACCCTGTCTCTAAACAAAATACAAAACAGCACTGGGGATGTGGCTCAGTGTCAAGTGCCTCTGAGTTCAATCCCTGGTACCAAAAAAAAAAAAAAGTGACATTGAAAGCCAGGTGCAGTGGCACCTGCAGAGACTCGGGAGGCTGAAGCAGAAGGATTACAAGTTCAAGTCTAGATTCTGCAATTTAGCCAAGACACTGTTTCAAATAAGAAAATGTGTGTGTGTGTGTGTGTGTGTGTGTGTATACATGTGCACGCACACACACAAACGACATATGTATAAAAGTTTTTTTAAAAAGAACTGAGGATATAGCTCATGGTAATGCACCCATGGGTTCAGTCCCCAGTACCAAAAAAAAGATTGACATTGAATTTCCAGGCCATCTATGTTAGGTTGATGTCCCTCAGAAAAGAGAAAGTTTAGTCAAGATTTATTAAAAAGCTTTGACTGGGTCTAAGAAAGTACATTATTTTTATTCCCTAATATTGAATTGCAAAATTAACTTGTGAAAATGATTCACTGTTTCATGTTTCTGTAGATCAATATTCATTAGATTTCCTGCGAATCAGTGAAATTATCTTTTACTAAAGTGAAGTAGCTATCTCCCCCCAACCACAAATAGAAAAATTGTGATTAACAAGAATCTGAGTAATAGTGGTAGGTTAAAAAAAAAAAAAAAAGTGAAGTGATTATTACTTGAAGGTAATCCTGTTACCTCAGGGTTAACAACATTTTTCATCCGTTTGTAGAAAATCTTTCTAACACCACTTTAAACAGTAGTAAATGAAGTGAATTAGGTAGGAAAATTAATGCAGTGCTTCACTTTGTCCAGTTCTGCAGATGTAGGAGACAACAGAGGTGGGGCTGAATTAAGTAGGCTCTCTGAGCTGCTCTCTGAAGTTTCTTGAGTAAATCCCCTGTTAGTATGATTCTCATCATTGTCATTTTTCAAGACAAGACTGCATAAAACAATGTAGACTATTCTCATAAGTTAGGTTGATGGCTCATTGGGGTTTTACTATATTGATCTGTGTTCTCTGGGATAGTTGAGAGAGAAATGTACAGTTTTAGAAGGACCAAATATGAAGCCATACTCCTAATGTCCTGCTGTTGCTGCAGTAATTTCTGAGGTTATCAGGATGTGATTATCGGACAACCTCACTGTGGTCTGTTTTTGAGGTGTTTGTGTGGGCTTTTCCACATTTCCCACAGCCAAACTTATTTAGATCTGGTCCAAGATTTACCTATAGGCATTCAAAATTAAATGTAAAGGCTAGGGATGTAGCTTAATGATACAGAACTTGCACCTCAGCCCCACAAAAAAATAAAAATATAGACCTAAGAGTTAATCCTCTTTCAGCAATATTGCTACATCCCCAGGCAATTTCCAACATTCATGCTCCTATCAACACTCTGTCCAGTGAAGCAAGATGACTTCCAACCCGTGAGGACTCATGAAAACACTCTCCCTTCTTATCCCATGATGTGGTTACTACAAGAAAAACCTCTTTGCAGTCTGTCTCTAGCTGCTTTACCCAGAACCCCAGGAGAAACTCTGGTTGAGTGCAGAGCCAGGCAGGTCTGGCCTTGGGTCTGTATGTATCTGTCTGAGACATAGTTTGTGTTTTAATGCAATTTATAACTTTCAAAAAGAATCACATCACAATAGTATGTTTTATTTTTCCATTATATTGCCTATAATTTCTGGGACAGAGAATTTCTTTCTTTTTTTAATTTTTGTCACCTGGGAACCTTTCCACTAATCTTAAATTGTTTCCCCATAAAAATCAAATTTTGGAGTCATATGTATCTATTTTAGATATTTACTTAGTAAATAACCACCAAAGTGGCTTTTTCAAAATCTTTCTTTGCTTAAGCCTTGATCTCACTGTACTTTAATGACTTTTGGGCACACCATTCATTTATAACAAAATACAAATAGTGGAAGGTTAATTAAAATAAATTCTGTGCTTGCTGTATCTGCAATGAGGGGGGAAAAGCTAGCAGCTTAAAATAAATGTCCTATAGTCACCACAAGATGGCGTAGATGACAAGAGGGAAAAACAGGACTTTGCCTTTTCAAACCAAAATACAGTATATATATTTCCTTAACCTATAGTTTTCCTCTATGTTATTTTCTTCCTGTTTAACTAGTTTTCCTCTAACTTTATGTTATTTTCTTCCTGTTTAACTCTCTTCTACATAGGATAGCAACATCACCTTTTAGTACAGAAAAATAATTACCTATTGCTCTTAATATTCCCTGGTATACCTGCCATCATTTACTACTCATGAGCCTTTTTGGATTTGATTGACTTTATCCAGGCTTATGTCATAGGTGCAGGACCATCTGTTTAACACCTCTTGTTCCTGTTTTCCTAATTCATATTTCACTGACATTGGAGCCAGGTGTTTTTCCCCCTAACATTTATTCTTGGTATAGACAAGTCAGTTAGACAGATTAAATCTCAAAGTGACCCCTGCCCCGTGAAGTGCATTAATGAGTCAGAAATCTCCTTTACTTAACCACCTTATAAGGCCATGATTTAATAAGAGTATCTGTTTGGAGAACATGATCTAGAGACAGCAGCTTTTGTTTTTACCTTGTCCCCATGCATTAATTTTATAAAAATAAAATTTGCTGATAAAAGAAAGATTAAGCAAAGCCTTATATCCTTCTCCTTAACAAATAATTAGTATGTACATGATCAAAGGAATTGTAAGCATTCAGTATAGGATATGGGCATAAAACACAGAAAGAAAACACTAAAACYTCAGTAATCACTGGTCTAATATCATTTCTGGTCTTAGAAATATGAGGGAACTTCTTTCTTTGTACCTTTTTGTACTTAAAACTATTCTAGGACTGAAGGTATAGCTCAGTTGTGGATCACTGCCTCGCATGTGTGGCAGCCCTGGGTTTGATCTCCAGCACACACACACACAAAAAAAATCTACAACAAACATCTATTGCCTTGATAATCAAAAAGTTTTATAAAATAAGTATCCATGTTCTTGCCTAGATTTAGTAAAAAGAACTTCTTTTGCTTTTTCCTGACTTTAGTACCCTCTTCCTTCTTGTTTTAATTTCAGATCTCTCATAAAAAGTATAAGGGCTGGGGTTGTGGCTCAGCAGTAGAGTGCTCACCTAGCACATTCGAGGCCCTGGGTTTAATCCTCAGCACCACATAAAAATAAATAAAGGTATTGTGTCTAACTAGAACTAAAAAAATAGATATTAAAAAAGTATAGTTTAGTTTTACATGTATTTAAGGGAAATTGAATTTAAATATTTTTATTCTTGATTTTTCAGAATTAAGTGGTAAGAATGTTGGTATTTTAGCTAGTCAGCTATTAATTAACATTTGTTTGCTAGTTATATCACTGTCCTATATTGCAAAATATTTTTCATATAAAAATATAATACCAAAGTCAAAACCTAATTTTTTTAAAAAGGCCATATTATTTATTTAATCTTGGTAACCAAACTATTGAAAATTTTTCATTCTTTCAGTAGAAAGATCCCATTTCACTATACATATTTCACATTTATTTCTTATAAAAATCATTTAACATATGTGAAGCCACATTTTAAGAGTGTTATGTGTGTGTGAGTAGGGATTGTAAAGACATTCACAATATTCTTCCTGTCTCAATAGTGTAGTTAGAAAAGTAAAGGTTAAAATAACACTGCTCCCTACTAACTGCTGACAGTGATGCCAAGTGTTCTAAGAGTTCAGAGAGAGAGACTTCATGGAGTAGAGAGAATTTGAGCCAGGCCTCGAAGCACAGGCAAGAATTTAAGAGGAACATGGTAAGAAGATAACATGGTAGGGACAGAAAAGCCATGTTTATTGGTCTGAAATAAACTAATATTCTTATTTCAGGTTCAAGTGTTGAAGCTGCTTTTAAATTTGTCTGAGAACCCAGCCATGACAGAAGGACTACTCAGTGCCCAGGTAAATAGATTACATACTTATTTTGTATATACACTTATAAAGAGATTTGGACAAATAAATCTGGAAAGATTTATCATAGAATGTTCACAGAGCTTATCTCTGAAGAACAATATTAAGTTGTTGCTTTATTATTATTCTTTGTATACWTGAATTTCCTAATTTTCTGTAACAAGCATATTTATTTACTTTTAAAAATAATTTTTAAAGGTTCTTCGTAGGAATAATAAATTATAATTTTTCTGTCATCCCAGTTTTGGGTAGGGTACACTTATGACATCACATCTTTTATACTTGGTTTCTTTCTGTGCACATGTGCCTTAGCAATACTGAATCCCCAGAATGTATGTGATAAATGTGGGGCTGAAATCCATGACATACCAGTGAATACGTGTGTTATCCTAGAGCTTATGGTGTAGTGGAGACAAAAAATATGTAACAAATGAACAAGATAATTTAAAAGCTGTTGAATGTTCTGAAGGAAGCAGAAGTGGTGCTAAGATAGAATAGAGTTCATTTCCTGCAGAAAAGGAACCATCTGGTTCATTTGCTCATCCCTGTTCTCTAAAATTATGCCAAAATTCTAATTAGTTGGTGTGAACAGTAAATATTTGATGAGTTAATGAGTTCTCATGAAAACTGTATGATGGATCCTAAAAAGAATATGGATGTTTCTTCAAATTACTACATTCTGGGATTCCAAGGAAATCATTCTTTAGCTAAAACACAAAACCTCTTCTCTTTTTTTTTTTGTTTTTAAAGAGAGGAGAGAGAGAGAGAATTTTTTAATATTTATTTTTCAGTTTTCAGTAGACACAACATCTTTATTTTTATGTGGTGCTGAGGATCGAACCCAGCGCCCCTGCGCATGCCAGGCGAGCACACTACCGCTTGAGCTACATCCCCAGCCCACAAAACCTCTTCTCATTAGTATATAACATAAGGGTGCCTAAGATTTTACATGTGTAAGTTATGCAGTCAGGGTTAATTTTCTGTGACAGCATTTTAAAAATGTAAAATATTCAATGCAGTGTTAAAATATGACAGTGATACTGCTTCCTCTTCCAGGTGGATTCATCATTCCTTTCCCTTTATGACGGCCATGTAGCTCAGGAGATTCTTCTTCGAGTACTCACACTATTTCAAAATATAAATAACTGCCTCAGAATGGAAGGTCAGTTAGCTACTCAGCCTCCTTTCTCTAAAGGTTCATTGTTTTTCCTGTTATATGGAGAAGAATGTGCCCAGAAGATGAGAGCTCTAGTTTATCATCATGATGTAGATGTGAAAGAAAAGGCTCTAACAATAATACCAAAATTCTGATTGGTTGATCATATTTTTCCAAAGAGTAATGCAGTCTGGAAGTTAATACTCCGAAAATTATTTTCCATTTTCCTTATAGAGGGATTCTTTCAGCTATTGAATTCGAGCAGCAAATATCACTTTTCATCTTTAACATAGTACAGGTGGAACATCTCTAATCTGACACAATGCTCAAAATTTGAGATTCTGGAGCATTTCGGATTTGGGGTTTGGGGATTAAGAATGTTTAACCAGTAAGTCTATTATGCAAATATTCCAAAGTATGAAAAACTCCAAAATTTGAAATACTGTTCTCAAGTATTTCAGGTAAGGAATACTCAGCCTGTATAACTTGCTATGGTTTGCAGGCTTATTTTGGACCATTTATTGATACCAAGTGAATATAAGAGCTTGAACTAAGACCAGTTATTTCACTATATGCTGAGATATTTTAGTTATTTCCTCTACATAAGCAGTAATCTTCTACCTTTTTTGTGGGGGGCGGGGTATTGGGAATCRAACCCAGAGTGCTTAACCACTTAGTCACATCCCCAGCACCCCACCCCCTGCTTTTCTTTTTCTTTTTCTTTTTTGAGATAGAGTCTAAGTTGCTGGCTAGCCTGGAATTTGTGACCCTCCTGCCACAGCTTCCCAAGCTACTGGGATTACAAGTATGCACCATCACACCTGGCCCCCTCTACTCTGAACTGATTTGCAGTTACTCTTCTGAGACAGCATTGGTTTGTGATTAATTCATTGTTTCCGAACTACCATAGAATGGCCCTCTTTTTTTTTAATAGCAATGAGATCCTGAGCTCTCAAGTCCACCTGCCAACCCAGCCATATTGCTTTCAAAGGTCTTGTAATTATCAGAATCTGTTCTCATCAGCCAGGCACAGTGACACATGCCTGTAATCCCAGTGGCTTGTGAGGATGAGGCAAGAAGATCACAAATTCAAAGCCAGCCCCAGCAATTTAGCAAGGCCCTAAGCAACTCATCGAGACCCTGTCTCTAAATAAAACTATTAAAAAGGGCTGGGGATGTGGCTCAGTGGTCAAGTGCCCCCAGGTCTGATCCCTGCACCAAAAAAAAAATGTATTCTCATCATTTCTAGATAATGAAAAATGTAAACTTTTAGGGGAAAATGTTTTTTAGTATTCACCCACTCCCCTTCAGTAAGCTAGTTGTAAAGATATTACATGTAAAATACTGGGATCAATCAAAATGTCCATCTAGTAGGCAACTGATTAAATCAATTAGTCTTTTAAAAAAGAAAAAAAATTAAGTAAACCTGAATGTGCTGATGTAGAAAGACATCCATGAAATATGGATGCTTTTAAAGYACATGTAAAAGACTGTATGTACCTTATGATCCCATGAGTGGTTTTTAAATGCAAAATATTTATGCTTATAAACTCCTGGAGCGAGGCTGGGATATGGGAATGTGACTTACCTATGTATACCTATTTCTACTGTTTGAATTTTTTTTACTTTGATCAGAAATTGTATAGTTGTTTTTTTTTTTAATAAAAAGTCACAAGTCTGTACATATTTTCTTCCCTTGACAGTACTTTATTAATTTTATCCATGTTTTACTTGTCTGGAATTACAATATAAAGATTTATTAGTTATTATCTATTTAAATAGTATTTTTATCCCATAAGGTATTTATTAACAATTTGATATATCTGAATGCAGCCAGCTTCTGTAATACTCAAGTTCATAGTCCTCATTGTGCTTAGCATTAAGTAAATCAATAGGCAAGCAGAAGCTTTACACTTGTGTACTTAAGACAAAAGCTTTGAGAGTGCTTTAAGTTTTATTTGCAAATATACGGATATAAACCTGTTGCTACAGGAAGTCACAAATCCTTAAACAGAAAAATATGTGGTATCAGGTTTATCCTGATATAAAAATCAACCTTTGAAGAAATATTTTCAGTAGAAAAAGGATGCAATATAAGATGAAAAATGGGAATTCCCAATGGGCTAGAGTAGTAATATAATATGATAGCTAAGAATAATACTTTCATATTGGTGACACAACACAGGTATTATTTCCCCAAAAGGCACATGTCTTTGTAACAGTTTTTCTAAAATCTGTTTCCCTATTAAATGAAGCTATGTGTTCAAAGTGTGCACATATTAAAAACCAGGATAGGATTTGTATTTAATGTGCTTTAGACACATCAGATTCTAAATCTCCCTGTCTTTTTTTCCTCTCTTACTAGTCTGAATAAGTAATGATACTTCCTAGAGATCACAGCATTAATTATAAAATATCAACATGCTAAAGAAGAAGAGTAATTTTTAACTGTTTCAGAAGAATTCATAATAAATATATACAAATAGATCTTTTCTATGTAGGTCATCACATCTTTACCTTTTATGTGTTGTGGGAGTGGTTACTCAGGATTAAACCCAGGGATGCTCTACCACTAAACTACATCCCCACCTTTTTTATTTTTGAGACATGGTCTCAGTACGTTGCCCAGGTTGGTCTGGAACCCATAGTCCTACCTCAGCCTCCCAAGTAGCTGGGATGACAGGCATGGACTACCACACCCAACACACCATCACTTTTATTAGGAGGTATGTCTCACCAGTGGACCTACCCTTAGGCAGTAAAGTATATCAAAGTAAGCATCCTCAGGATGCTTGCTAATCAAAGAACATGAAACTTATAAGATAGATTTTAAAGTACTATAATGTGTATCAGAAAGTATTATAATGTATATCAGACTAGACTGAGGATAGAGAATGGATTTGTCTAATTTTTCAAAATTTGTTTTCATTTGCACATAAACCCTTCAAAATATAGATAAGTGAAAAACTGGAAACCACTCAATAGGGTAGTTGTGACAAGGAACAATGACATTTGATGTACTTAATGAATAAAAATGTCAATGTAAAAAGAACACAAATGATAATGCACCAATTTAAAAAAATGTGGGGAAAAAAGATGAATGGCAATAAAAATCAAAGCAGGGAAGCCTAGAAAAATATGGCTGGCTCAATTAAATGGCATTAGAATACAATTTAAAGTGCTTAGAGACTCTGAGTTTAAACAGTACATGTGAATACAAAAATAATATTAAGGCCATTCATTCATGGAGAAGAAATATCTAAGATATGTTTGGATTGCTCATAGCAGAGAGGTAAGAGATGAATTTCAGTTCGAGGAAGATGACCACAAGAATGCTGACTAGTGTTAGGGCAATATGCCTCAAGCTAACCCACCATAACCCTAACATCTGGATTCACATCTGCTTAGAGTGAAAAAGTTTATGTTGTTTTTTTCTTAAGTTTCTTTTTCTTATGGGGAATTTTTGTGCTTTGTGCCCCCAAATCATACATTCACATACTTTATACATACATATACACTGTGTACACATTTCCCCTTGATTGATTTTGATAGAGATCGCTTATATTTGCTATTACTCTCCAAATCTACAAAATGAGTAGATTGTTTGGTGTCCTAATATGTAAGCATAAATATGCAACAGGAACAATATATTATCAAAAAACATTAGCCTATTTTCAGCTTTCAAATGTACCTATCTGTATTAGGCAGTGATATTTTAGGAAATCATTTTCTCCCTTAGATTTTAAAAGTGCTTTTCAAAATATTTAGGCTGGGGATGTAGCTCAGTGGTTAAGCGCCCCTGGGTTCAATCTCTGGTACCAAAAATAATAATAATATAATATTTATCCTACTTGTGTTGGAGGTAGGAGAAAATTATCCTCTTGTCACATGTGAGGAAACTGAGGCACAGTGAGCATAGGTGATTTGTTTCAGGTTACACAGAAAATTCAATGATGAAATGAGAGGATTAACATTCAGATTTAGTGGCAATTTTTTGGCATGTATACATATGTGCAAATTATAGAGCACTGTGAGTTTGTATATTTGGTGTAGAATACCTATTCTAATTATTTTATATGGATAAAGTTTATTTCACTATGTCTACAGATAAGGAACACAGAACAGGCCTCAACGAGTGCCTAATACAGCTCACTCCTTTAAGAAGGTTCAGAACAATCAAGTGAATACAGTGCCTTATTTAAGACTAAAACTCAGGTCAGCCAACAACCAGAAATCTGTGTTTACCACTGGTATGCCACACTGCCTTAATAAAAGGTACAGTTATGCTTATAAGTCATTTAATATAAAAATATATGACATCTGAATCATGTAAAACAAAGTACTTATAAAATAAATCTTACTGATACATTAGAGTTAGAACGAAGAGGGGGGGATGTATATAGAGAAAGTAAAATTTAATTCAAAGTGTTATGGCCTATTCACATTTAAGATCTGCATTTATCTCATCTGTAAAATATTTCACTGTAGCTATATTTGTGCTTAGTAGAAGGTCTGACTTTTATATTAAAAATAGAAAATCTCATAAGTCATTTCTCATATCCCTTCCTCTGCCCTAGTAAGAGCTTTTAATTTGGAGATTGTAGAGGTACAGTAAAATATACCCCTCTTTTAAAAATTTAAGTTCATGGTGGTTATGGCTTCACAAGAAATTTAAGATCATATATATCTTGCCACAATCAATTTTAGAAATCTTTTAAAATGATAACTTGTCCCAAATCCTGTATTTGTATGCTTAATAAAATAAATCACTTTAACATTTGACATATAAGCTAGTCTTGATAGAACAAGAACTGCTATGTTTTTAAGCATGTGGGAATCGATTTTATCACTTATTACCATGTGAATATTAGAAAGATATGAGTGCCTGTGATCCCAGCAGCTCAGGAGGCTGAGGCAGGAGGATCTTGAGTTCAAAGCCAGCCTCAGCAACAGCAAGGCGCTAAGTAACTCAGTGAGACCCTGTCTCTAAATAAAAATACAAAATAGGGTTGAAGATGTGACTCAGTGGTTGAGTGCCCCCAAGTTCAATCCCTGGTACCCAGGGGGGGGAAAAAAAAGATATGAGGGTATGTATACAGGCGTCTAAAAAAATCTAGATAACTATAAAACCTTGATTCACCTTGTAGAGGTCCTGAAAAAATTAAAAAACAAATGGAACAAGTTTTTCATTATCTCAGAAAATTCTACCACCGCTAAAGTATAATGCTTTAGTAAATAATTTCTATTGCATTGCTTATACCATTAATATAAGATTTTTAAATCCACATTGTCAACTCATTATTTAAATGACTCACTCCTGAACGTTTCTTTTATATAAGCTAGTCATCATAGCAAGTTATTACACAAAACATAAAACACACTTGCAGAAGTGTAAATATCATATTATTCATGACTTGCTTAGTCTTGTCATTTGCCTTCAAATTTACATCAAATGATGCTTTTTTCATCAAAAGCTCCTGTGCTCATATTCAAAGTTTTCATCCTCGTTATATAAGTATCTTGATTCTCCATGCTTCAAGACAAAAAAATCTTCAGTCTTAAGTCCATATCTTTCTAGAGCTTCACTCAGTTTCACTGGAGGCTCTAAGTAATGCTGGCAAAGGGCAGAATGAAGAAAAAGAAATTAATAACACATGGTTGGGTGATATTTCAAATTAAACTTCAAACTGAAGTAACCAACAAATCCTTCATAAAACAATTCCCTTTTTAATTGAATTATTAGCAAATGAGTCAATCGTATTTGTTAATACAGTCTGAGTCATTATGATATCAACAGAAATGTCTACTAATAGATAGAAATTAATATAGCTAAACAACTGTATATCAAATGTGGTGCCACCTTAGACTGAACACCAATAAGATTATATGAAGTCTGATTTGTTAAAATTTCAATCTATTGTGGCATCTGCTAAAAATGGCATAGAGAATTGAATGTTAACGTTTTTGAAGCATATAAAAATCTGTGTGTGTGTGAGAGAGAGAGAATGCTAGAGCAAATATTTTTGGCTGGAGAAGGGCTGATGGAATCAAAACCTCTAGCCACATGTATAAACTAATCTGCAGACTGAAAAAGGACCCCCAGAGAAGAGATACTATGGGTAAGTTTCCCTAGGTCCCTTGATTTCCTCAATTTTTCATAGCTCAATAAAAAGGGAAGACGGCACACAGTATGTTCCAGAATGTTTTCACCCAAATATTTTCCAAATATTGAATAAAATAGTTATTTATAAATAAATTTAAAAGTATAAAGCTAAATCATGTCATTAGTTTTTGGTGGTGTTTTGTTTGTTTGTTTATTGTAGTATCAGGGATTGAATCCAGAGGTGCTCTACCACAGGATCTTGCTCAATTGCCCAGGCCAAATTTGCAAATCTTCTGCCTCAGCCTCCCAAATCACTGGGATTGCAGGCATGCTCCATCACTGTGCCCAGCTGGTTATTTCTCATTTGGTCTAAGTCTCTACATCGCATAATAGCTATTTTTTCCTTCATTCTAAGGCTTTCCCCCCAACCACCAGACTCCTGTTAACTTCAATTAGAAAAGGTGTGAAAAAAGGAGTATCATGATCTGATTCAAGTTCTAAAGGTCACTGCCCTCTATAGTGTTAAGCAGATGTAAGGGGCAGAGTGGTAGCAATGAAGGAGGTAACAAGTGGTCAAATTCTGAGTACAGTCTAATGTTAAGTTAATTGCATGTAGGCAGGGTGGGGAGGGGGTACCAGGAGAAGGATATGAGAAAGAGACGTTAAGATTTTAGCCTAAATAACTGGGCAGACAGAGTTGCCATTTACTGAGATGTAAAAGAAGTTTGAAGGAAGATCAGAAAGTTTGGTTTCAGACACCTAATGGATATCCAAGGCGGGGATGTCAAGAGACAACTATAGATATATAAATGTGGATGATGTTGGAGGAAGGAGGGATATGAGCTAGAGAGGCACAGCAGGTAGATGGTACTTAAAGCCACAAGGCTGGATGAGATCCTTAAAGGAGGAAACAATTGGAAAAGAAGAGATCCAAGGACTAATACCTGCAGCCCTCAATGTTTAGGGGGAGGGAGATGAGAAGCTACCAAGAGAGACTAAGAAGGACAGCCAGTGACAAACAAGGAAAGCCACAAAACATTTCTTGAGGCTTAAAATGCAATATTCCCCCCTTGCTCGCTTGTTCATGTATGACTCTTTTTAAAGGGTTACAAATATCTTTCCACTGACTACTGAAGATAACCAATTAATGGATGGCCCAAAACAGGAACCTACTTTTAGTCTATTTTATACATATAGAAAGGAGATCACTAATATATTGCCAATAGAATTTAACTAAATAATAACCTAAGTCAAGAAATTTCCCTTGCAATTTTTTAGAAAATATTTCGAAATGATAGAATTCTTTCATTGAAAAATAACTACTTTTGTTAAAATTCTTTTCACCCCAACAATACATATACACCATCACTTTACACTGATAATTTATTTATCAAGCTATATATAACTTTAGTGTGGCGCATGATGTAGTATGTAGATTTAGTGTGGATTTTGATGTTTTAGCTGGGAGTAGATCCTTTGCCTTTAATCTGCCTAGATTGAGCAATATTGTTCTGAGTTTTTTCATAGGTTAATTCTTATCTATTTCAACCATCTAGAAGATAACCCTGGAATTAGGTAAAAAAGCCTTCTGAGTAACTGATAACAATCTCCTGATCCAAGCACTTTAGGCCACAAAGGAGATAAAAATGCCCTACAGCCATAGGAGCAAACAGCTACCGAGAAGCAAGGTGGTAAATCAGAGATCAGTGAGATTGTGGGGAAAGCTGAGTTCCCAGCATTCTGGATTTGATAAAGGAAAAGCAAGCAGTCCCAGACAACAACTAAGTTCTAAAAGGGATCCCTATTTTAGAATCTTCTACAATCAAGACCCTGGTCAATTAGAAAGCTAACTTACATATTATATAATGCTTGAAGTCTGTTTCCATCAAAACTAATGATTTAATGTTTTGAGGCTTAAACACATGTTCTAGGAAATCCACATACCATATTTTAGGTAAACTGGATGTTGCTATATATGAAATTTTTGAATCTCAAAGTGTTCAGAAGTTTAAGCTAAACTTCTTGGAAAATCTCATCTACTTTATAATTTAATAAACTCATGTTTGTCTAGTGTTATTCAACTAACATCAAAATGTTAATAACTTTCTTTTTTTTTAGGATTTAAATCTTTTTTTTCCCATATCTTTATTTATTTTTATGTGGTGCTGAGGATCGAATCCAGTGCCTCACATGTGCAAGGCAAGTGCTCTGCCCTTGAGCCACAGCCCCAGCCCTAAATGTGAGCAACTTTCAAAGGATTAAAAGCTATGAGTTTTTATTATATGTTTCATTAATAAATAAAGATGGAGGTTAGATTTATAACAGGAATAACACATGAAGGCTGAATAACACAATAATTCTTTTTTTCTTCTTATTCTCAGTACTGGGGTGCTGAACCCAAGGGTGCTATACCACTGAGCTATATCCAACACTTCTGTTGGGCACTTAATAACTGAGCCACATCCCAGCCCTTTTTGCTTTTTGAGATTGGGTCTCACTAAGTTGCTTAGGACCTCACAAAATTGCTAAGGATAGCCTTGAACTTGGAATCCTCAAGCCTTAATGGAATTACAGGTATGCACCACCACACCCAGTCCGGATACTTTTTATTTACTGAGACAGAGTCTCACTAAGTTGCTGAGGCTGGCCTCAAACTCCTGCTTCAGTCTCTGGAGTCTCTGGGTTCACAGACATATGCCACCACACCCAACTGTGCCAATCACAGATATGTGAGTAACACAATAATTCTCAGAGGTTTTGATCCTCTTCTTATCTTGCCCATGTATCAATGAAGATCACAACTGCCTACCCAATCACTCAAGCTAAAAGTCTAGGAGTTAATCTTGATTCATTTCTTTGCCCAGGTTTAATAAAATACTATAACTTCATCTAAGAAACTGATACCTATTATAAATGGTATATGAAACTTCTCTCTCTTCCTTCCTCATTCATTCATCCTCTGTATCCCACAAAGTTATTCGTTTATTCACTCATTCTATTCCATCCCCTGACAGCATGGCTAAGAGTAGCTACATCATGACTCAGGATTGGGAATTCTGATTGAGGGGGTGGGAAACAAGCAATCAAGGTACTAGGAAATTTTGAAACAAGATGTGTCCAGGAAGAAGGCAGGCCAGAAATGGTATTGGGGAGAGCCAAAACCAGCAAGAAAACCGTGGGTTCCTGCAGAGARGCCCGAGGATATGGAAGATGCCACAGAAAGTAAAGAGAAGCCACATTCCATCCATCCCTTTCTAAAGTTTCCTTAGGGCAGGCTTGGATCCAGAAAAGAAGATAAAGTTTTAAGCTATCCCTTCCTTGATCCCAGAATCGATGTTAACAGCACAGTTCTAGGGTTCAGCTCCCTTAAGGAAAAAAATCAGCTCTTGTGGTTTAGTGTAGGAAAAACCAGTTACCCCAACGCCTAGTACACAGCAGACACTAAACCAAATATGACAACATATTTCTAGAAGGTTCCACAATGTCAGTCTAGCCTTACTTCTCCCATTGCCCTTCGTGCCATCTACTGTCCTGCTTAAAGGTTCCTCACCATTCCCTGCACTTGTGCCTCCAGGCCTATGCTATGCCCTTGATCCCCCTCTGGAAATAACTTCCTCTTGCCTTTTCATAAGCAAGTTCAAATGTCATTTTTCCATGCTATTCTGATTATTGAGGATCACCCATGATTTTCTGAGACCAATGAATCTGTCCCACATTACAGCCATTTCCCCTTCCAATATCTGTATCACGTATACATCTTCTATATTCCACAGGAATGGAAGCTGCCTTGAGGGGGGAGACATGATGGTTCATTTTTCTACTCCCCACTCTATGTACACAGATTTTTGGTTATACAAACACATGCTTYGTTAACTACAATGAGTAGTAGTCCAAAAAAATAACTTGCAACAAGGGTTTTTCACTGTATGTGAATACTGTTTTACTGATTAATAAGGTTTAACACCCTAATTCAAGTCATGATTGTGATGACTGCAAAGGGTCTGACTCCACAGTCTGTTTCTGAAAGCATTGCTAGGAGACAGTGATGCCTGAATCCCATCAGTGGTCACACACATCATCAAAGTTATTTTTTTCATGATCAAACTCACCTCATTTGCTAAGGCAAAAGTTCCCCAGTGAATTGCCACAGATTTCTTTGTTTGAACATCGATGTGAATCCTRACAGCTTCTTCTGGGTCTACATGCTGGTATTTCATAAACCACCTGATAAAACACAGCAATTTATTAATTCTGGTCTTCAAATACACTCTGGATTCTAATTTTTGCTTTATCTAATCAGACTTTAAGACTCCACACAGACTTGTGGGTTGTTTGAGAAATAAGAATCATCTCAGTTTGGGTATTCTGACTTTGCCTTCCTATTCTTCACTTGATTTTTAATTAGTACACCTAAGAATTGGGCTAAACTGCCAAAAGAATCAGCAACATATACTAGTGGTACCTCAACCACTTATCAGGCCCAGGACTTACATACAGAACTTTAAATAAGTAGTGCTACTCAGCCTGGGCCCTCAGTGCTTCTGTTTTAATTGTTCTGGGTTGGGACATGAGCATCACAAAACTGAACACTGAGGTGTTTGGTTTCATAAGAAGGGAGGCTTGCGTAGTGGACGAATGATTCGAGATAATGCAGAAGCACTGAAAGGTTGCAAAGAACAAGGACCCAGGCAGGAGGCAGGCCTGGCTATGAATTCCAGCTCTTGCAGTTCCTGGAAGGCCTTCAGAAGGTCCCTTCTAATTCTCTGAACTTCCATTTCCTTGTTTGTTAAGTATAAACTTAGACCTATTCCGGGTAAAGGTTATTACAAGGATTAACAAAAACAATGTTTATAAAAGCATGAAGCATACTAGCTATTCCATAAAATTCTCCCAGAAARGTACAGTTGACAAAAATCAACACTTTCAGGAAAAAAAATTACTATATTAGGAAAAAAATATTATCTACAAGCAAACCTTTCGCTTTTCAAGCCATCAATTTGGTGGAGGAAGAATAACACTATCTACCTGATCCACCAGGGCCTACTAATGCTACCGAAAAACTAATGAGCCTGGATTCAGCACAGGTGCTTCTGCAGTTCAGGGAACATCATGTAGGAATCCATCCATCTGTAATAGCCAAAGGGTGTTATTTAATAGCCAAAGGGTGTTATTTACCGCCAGCAGTTGCTGGGTCCTAAGAGAGCCCAAAAACAAAGCCACTGTGTTCTCCCCAACAGAAGATTACAGAAGCACTGTTCTGCCATATCTCCTGGCACAGAATTCAGGGCAAGATGAAAACAGTTTTGGGGGGTGCGTCTTTATTGATTTTTTGAAAGATCCTACTGCAAATGAAAGGGATAGAAATTCCTTTCTATTCTCATGCCTATCTGAAATAAGTTTAAATTTTTGACTATGATGAAACAATTAAAATTTTAAATCCCAACGGACTTGGTGACAAGAGATCTCAAAAGTAAGGATGAAGCATTCCCAGCATATGACTGAAAGTCGTTTTTGTAATCATATCACGTTTGTAGAGCACTCTCAAGTTTGTTGAATGGATACTTTATTTCTGAAACTGTTAGTACTGATCAGAGAAATGAACTACCCAGAATAGGCTGCCACATTTAACTCTCTACAGTAAATAACATCTTCCCTGCCCTTCTCCTGTCTTAGAAATAAACATGGCCCAATGCAAGCAGGAAGGAAGAAGTAGGTAAATGTGTATATGGTTTGGTTTATCAACACAAGCACATATCTAATATGTACATTGCTACTTATGAAGACTTACTCTCATAATTACAAATTAGAAATATTCAGTTATTTTAAGAACATGTACTKAGTAAAGATCATTATCATACAAAATTGATTAAACCAGGCTGGGACTATAGCTCAATAGCAGAGTGCTTGCCTAGCATGTGTGAGGCACTTGGTCCAATCCTCAGTACCACATAAAAATAAATAAAGGCATGCTCTCCATCAACAACTATAAAAAAATTTTTTTAAAATTGATTAGAACAGTTCTTAAAAAAACACAGGTTGATATTTTCAGAGGCTTCATTATAACTAGAATTATTTAAGTGGAGAAGTGAAATTCAAGCACTAATATTGATTTATGATAATTTTAATAATTATCAGGCACTAAAACATTAAAATATCTAGCCTCCAAACTAAGTAAACTAGCAAAAAAGCATAAAAGGGAAAAATAAATGTTAATAAATATAGGGAAAAATGGAGTTAGTGAACTTAAAAGGTTAACAAATAAGTACAACAAAACCAGATGGAAACAAAAGATAAGATTCATATATTCCATCTATGTGTTAGAGAAACACTAGGTGTTCTATTTTGTTGGATCACCTAAATAAAATGCAGTTGTACCCATGTATGCAAGCACTGTAAAATGCAAAAAAGTCATTTTTTAAAAGAAAAATTTAAATTAGCCCTTACTTTGTTACTATCAGTATTTGTTTTCTCTTTACTACACATAAAATCAAAATTGACTGAAATCTAACTGAATTCTCTGAAATCACTTCTCTTTTCCCTAAATATACAGTGTTAAGGAAAATGCAGATGTTCTCCTAGGTCTCCAGCCATATGTGGCCAAGAGCTGTTCTGGAAGTAAGTGATGAGGACACAGTGGCTGAAGGGTGAGGGGAGAGCAGTGTGACGTCATGATCACACACACTTTAGCACAGACTAAAAGGCTGAAATGCCACAGGCCAGCTCTGGCTTTCTCTCTGCTCCACTCAAGAGAGCTACAGGACAAGGGATTGGTGTGTTCCAATCATGGAGAGAAAAGTAATTATACAAAAAAAAAGAATATTCCATGTGAAAGAAAGAACAAGAGTTAGGTTTGATTGCTGGCTTACAAGTTTAACTTTAGTTGGAATGGTACATAAACTTCTCATGAGGTATGTTATTTCTTTACGCCCTGGTCCTTCTTGATTTGGAATAATTACATAAAGGCTATCCTATGATTAAAATATTTGAAATTTAATAATATCTAACTGAATTTGACCCACAAAGCCCCATCAATGTATAACAAAGCTCACCATTACATAGTTTCACAAAAATCATATCCTTTAAATTTCTAAACTTATCGTGCAGCCAAAGTGTTTTCTTTGGAAATTTACAAACCTTGGTTCATAAGCTCCGATGGGAATAGCAGCAAGGTCAAAAGGTCCGAACCTTTTTCCTATCTCTTCAAAAGCAGGGCAATAACCAGTATCTCCAGCAAAAAAAAATCGATTCCAAGGCCCCAAGACAGACCAGCTTCCCCAGAGAACCTTGTTGTCATCCATTAGGGTCCTTTTACACCAGTGCTGGGAAGGTGTAAAGACAAAGGTGACCTTGTCCTGGCCAGGGACACAATTCTCCTCCCACCAGTCCAGCTCAATCACGTTCTCACAGCCACATTTTTGCATCCAGTCGAGGAGACCCAAAGGCACAAACCATCTCAACTCATTACCAAATCGCTCATTCAAAGCAATGACAGAACTGTAGTCCAGGTGGTCATAGTGGTTGTGGCTGATAAGGACTGCATCTATTCGGGGGAGTTCATTTATTGTGCATGGGGGACAACGGAATCGCTTTGGACCCATGTACTGCGATGGAGAAGCACGAGAGCTGAAGATAGGATCTGTGAGAAATATGAGTTCGTCCATTTCCACCATCAGCGTGGCGTGTCCCAGCCATGTGACCCTTAAGCCAGCTTCCCTCACTCCAGCTTCTCCAGGGTCATTGACAAAATATGGTTTAAGCACTGGGAGTTCTTTGTCAAGTTCCTGTGYATACAAAGAAACACAAAGCAGCAGTGAGAAAAAGAAAGGTATTATATCACCCCGGCCCAGAAGGTCTATTTTGGAACAACTGACATTTTCAATGAATGAATTTGCTATTTTTGCTTTTCTCTTGAAAATGCATATTTAACTTCTTTTTTGATCAGAATAATATATTCAGTTTATTATCTTCTTAGTCCTAAATGCAACAGGCAAAGGTAAAATTAAACTTAAAATTTTTAATACAGCTAAATTAAGTTATTTTAGAGGCTTTCTTTTGAATCCCGGAAGCATACTGGCTGGGATGCAGTTATTTTGCTTCACTCAGGTGATGTACTTGGTGCTGAAAAAGGCCTCAGAAGCAGGTCTGAGTCTAAAATAGTAAAGAAAGCTGATGACGACTTATTYGTAGCTCTTGGATGGCAGATACGAACCTGACTTTTGGAGCTCATGATTCAGTGTGGTGCACCGTGATGATTCCTGGACAAATCTCATTCATCAATGTTCTTCCTTTCCTTACCCACTGATCAAACCTTAGAGAAATATGATCACTGCCTGTGACAAGATGACCGTTTGGCAAGGGGTGGAAATAAATATAGGTCAAAAGTGTAGTAAGTATTGTTCCTTTGGCTACATGACATTTTATATTTGGATCAAGACTGACCAACAAAAACCTGTGGCCTAGCATCAGTCCTGGCTTTTATAAAACTGCTTTTACTGAACTGTGACCTGGTGTCCTGCCATACAGAAGCATCAAGGTCTCTGGGAAGCTGCCTCTTGGATCCTGCCATGCATGCTGAAGACTTGTGCCACCTCCACCTTCCCACTGACCCCAGAAACATCTCAATTCTCAGCAACTGGAAAAGCTCTTATCTAGAGCAACTGCCTTTCTCATTTGATGGTCCCTGGGAGAAGTAACAATTCATGCTTCTTTCCCCTTTGCTGTGACCAGGAAGTTGAGAGCAAAATCTGAAGGGCATGATGGAATGTAGTTCCATACTTTTTCTTGGCTTTATTTTTCTACCCAGTAGTCTATTTGCTCTTATATGCTCATTCATTTTTCACTGCTACGTGCATTTTTATAAGTTTGCCTCAAATCAGTTTTGAAAATTGTGGTGTGAGATAATTAAATAAAATATGATGCGCTGTAGCCTAAGAAGAAGGAATAAAGAGCCCACTTGCCAGTGGCATCACAGATGCAGTGATTTGTGTGAGTGCTGAAGAATGATGAGAAATTCATGATGGAGAGAAAAGGAAGACGCTACCCATACAAACACAGAGCCAAACAGGAACATGGYGTCTGGGAGCAGGGAACAAACCAAATCTATCTAAGGGATAAGAATACACTAAGAGCCTCCCCCACTCCACCCACAGACAATGAAGAAGCATCTTTTTATACATGCAGACACAAAGACATGACCTCATTTATGTTTCAGCAATGTAGAGTCTAATGATGACCTGAAAAGTATCCCAACATTGTCATGTTTTGAGGAGATGAAGACCTAATAAAAGAGAAAGCAGTGGGCTTGGACAAGAGAGCAGATGGGAGATGCTGGTGAAGGAAAACTGAGACATTACCAGAACCATCTAAATGGAAGAGAAGCAGCAGCACAGGAGAAAGACATAAAAAGATTTCTCTTAGCCAGTCCAAGTCTTAGTCTCCTCAATGCAAAACAGGTATAATAACTGAACACACAAAGACCTGAATTAGCAGTGGCTGGCATACCATAAGTGCTAAAAGCAAGCAAGCCTAAATTCTGATAACCAGTCACCACCCATCTTATCAGTCTCTTGAATTTCTGCAAAGCCACAACCTACTTACGATCTTAAGTAACATCCAGACACCTCAAAGCTCTCTGGATTATTCAACTGTCTTCCTATGCACTCAGTCCACACACAAGAGCCAAACAGTCCTCAAAAAACAGTCTACTCAAGGCACAATCCAAAACATCTTCCCTGGCTCTCCACCTGACAAAGCCCATCCCACCTCCTGAGCCCAGCAGTGCCCAGGCCAGGTCACCAGCTGATCCACACTATTCCTCTGCATATATTGTGTCCCACCTACACAGAACCACTCACCACTCTTGGACTGAGTTTAAGAACCCTGTGTGGTACTGATTCCATTTCACTGGTTAAGTTTTCTTCCCCTCTCATCCCTTTGAAATCATAATCAAATTGCACATCCTTCGTGAGACCATTCCTGGGTCTCAGATCCTGGAAGCACTCATTGCTGCCTCTCAACATCCATGCCTCTCTGTCCACACATTTCCTCTGGATGTTTTCTTTATATGTAGACAAGATTCATCCCATCTCTTATGCAGCTTGAAATCATTCACAGTGCCTGTTTGGTGATTTCCACATAGCATGTACTCAATAAAATTTGTTGGATGAATGAATGTCAATTTTTCAATCAGTTTTCAAATCTGGTAAAGAGAATAACAAATGCCATATTTATCAAGAACTGAGGAGATGGAGAAATGAATAAAAGTTGAGGGCCTACCAAAAGTTAGGCATCATACCAGTCCTGGAACAATGATGAGGATGAAGTATTTAATATATCAAATACATTAGTATAAAATAACATTAACAACAGCTACCATTTAGGAAGTTTCTATGTGCTCAATACTATAGTATTTGCTTCATAATTTAATACTGACCAAGACAAAACACTAGAAGTAAGTATTGTGAATTGTCTCCTTTTTTTCTTTCCCGGTACCAGGGATTGAACCCAAGGGTGTTCAAAAACTGAGCCTCATCTCCAGCCCTTTTTAAATTTTTTACTCTTGAGACAGAGTCTTGCTAAGTTGCTTAGGGCCTTACTAAGACACTGAAGCTGGCCTTCAGTTTGTGATCCTCCTGTCTCAGCCTCCTGAGCCACTGGGATTACAGGCCTGCGCCATCACAGCCAACTGAAATGTCTCCATTTTTACAGAAGAGAAGAACAACTAGTTAACAGCACTCGCACAAGATCTCCCTACTGGTCTCCATGTTTACTGCCTCCCTCCACCATACTTTCACACTTGATCTCACTTAACACAGTCTATTTTTGTTTGTTTATTTTAAAAGTAACAGCTAAGGGATCAAGTGGGGAGAATAAGTAGAGATGGAGTACAAAAGATCAAAAGAAAACACTTGGGGATAATAGATATGTTCCTTATCTTAATTGTGGTGATCCCTCATCCCCAAGTGCTCTAGGTATTTGTATATGTGTGTGTACATAAGTACGTACATAAGCACACACACACATATGTATGTCAAAACTGATCAAATTATACATTTTAAATATGTGCAGCCAAGATTATGTTAATAAAACTATTTAAAATGTTTTAAGTAACACTATCTTTAAACAGTACATTAAAATCTCCTATAACAAAATACCCTGAAAACTGGGAGTTTTTATTCTGCTCTAAGTTTAAAAGCCATCTGAAGTTTAATATTTGGCATCATCTGACTATTCAGGAGGATACAAAGCTTCAATAGAGCAAAGCTGGTAGCTTTGACTTACTGCCTAAAGGTATTAAAGTGATTTTTAAAAGTATTAAAAGATGAAATGCTAAATAAAGCCAGTCACAAAGGCCCACATGCTGGATGATTCCATGTATGTGACATATCCAGAACAGGCAAGTCCAGAGAGACAGAAAATAGATCAGTTGTTCCCAAGGCACAAGGGAGGGTAAGGGAACTGGACAGGGATGACTCAGGGCATGGGTTTCTTTTAGGGTTGACAATAGGTTTCTTTGGGAGATAAATAAAAATTATGGTGATTATTGCACAACTCTGTGAATATACTAAAAACCACTGAATTGTGGATTTTAAATGGGTTGATTACATGGTATGAGAGTTATATCTCAACAAAGCTATTTCAAAAGGAGGTAAAGAGGCGACAGGAGAGCTGAACTAACAGGCACACTTTTCTTCATGTTCCTTCCTTCATGGTGTGTAGTTTCCATTCCCATCACACAAGAGTAACTTATTTTTAAGAACTTGCTCTCTAGCACTACTATCCCATAAGACTCAAAGACATGGAATCTATGTTGAGATTCCAAAGGAAAAAAATATATCATCTTTTACATTCTACCCTAATCACTAGAGTTTGAAAAAGCATGTGGAAAAGGGATTGGGTTGTAGAAAGGGTGCTGGAAGACCACCGAGGGTCTTTTCCTCAGTAAAACTACATTGGGAAGTCACAGAAAGCAATAAAATAATAATCACAAATACTCAGGAAGTCAAGCAGTTGAAAAAAAGAGGTATTACTAATATCAGGGTGAAAAAAAGCATATAAGACAGGAGACATGGCTAAAGTTTACTTTATTTTCATCAATGAAAARTATCAATGCAATGACAAAAATGTTACCAGTGAAATCAGAAAGATAATCAGAGTTAATGATGTTATATTGTAGAAATCAAAATAACTAGAGAGGAGGATTTTGAATGTTTTCATCACAAAGAATTGATAAATGTTTGCTAGAATGGATAACCTAAATATTCTGAAACATCACACTGTATTCTATAAAGATGAACAAGCATTATCTATCAAAAACAAAAAAATAGAGTTAGGCCTAAAGTCCCAAATAGTCAAGAAGCTGAAGCAAAAGGATTGCTTGAGCTCAGGAGTTTGAGGCAAGCCTGGGCAATATGGCAAGATCTCTCTTAAAAAAAAAAAAAATAGAATATATCTATGGTAGCAGAAGAGATGGAGTTACTCTGATAATTCAGGGTAGAAGTCAGTATTAGCAAATGCCAAGAAAAAGGCATATATTCTTTTTTTCTTTGAAACAAGAAGGTAAACTCCAGAGGAAACAATTTAAAAGCACTGAAAACTGTTGCCTTTGAGGAGCAGAACTGGTGGCAGGGGCTAGTTAGAGGATTGACATTTTCCGTATAAGCCTTTCAGTACCTTTCAGTACTAGTTTTTTAAAAACTATACGTACTTTTTTCTTGCTAAAAATTAAAAAGCATCTGTACATGTATACCTATAGTATAATTTGAATATTACCTTTTTTTCAAAGGGCATCCTATTCCTCAATGTCATACATCTAAGAATTCATTATATTTTCAAAATAATTTCATGTATCATGTGAACCTCAAAACAAGACTAGTGACCCACTCTAGTTTATTGTCACTTTATAGGAAAAAAAGATGAAGTTTGTGTTGGTCAGCTTTCCATTACTATAACAAATATCTGAGCTAAATCAACTTATAAAGAAAAAAAGATTTATTTTGGCTMGTAGTTTGGGATTTTCAGTCCATGATTTAATAGCCCAATTTTTTATGGGCCTGTGGCAAGGCAACACACCATGGTAGGGAATACTCCACAAAAATCCCTCACCTCCTGGCTGGAAAGAGAAAAAAAAAGAAAGAAGAGACCAGGGTCCTACAATCCCCTTTGTGAGCATGCTCCCAATGACTGGACCCYATTGTGCTAGGCTCCACCTCTTAAAGATTCCACTACTGCTAAGCATGGTGGAGCACATCTGTAATCCCAGCTACCCAGGAGGCTGAGGCAGGATGATCGCAAGTTCAAGGCTACCATGAGCAACTATGGGAGAACCTATCTCAAAATAAGATWTTTTTTAATATATATATATTTTTAGTTGTAGTTGGACACAATACCTTTGTTTTGTTTATTTATTTTTTATGTGGTGCTCGCATGCTAGGTGAGTGCTCTACCACTGAGCCACGACCCTAGTTCCTCAAAATAAGATTTTTTAAAGGGCTAGTGATGTAGCTCAGAGGTAGAGTGCTTCCTCTGCACCAGGCCTTGGATTCAATCTCCAACAGCAACAAAAATGTTGGATCCACCACCTCCCAATAGTGCCAAGCTGGAGACAAAGTCTTTAATATGTGGGACTTGGAGAGACATTTAAGAGACAAACTATCACAGAATTCCTTGAGGGACTGTGATATAAATAAGGTCACACAGTCAGTAAGACTCCTAACCCTAACCCGAACCCTGAACTCCTGATGCTGTGGCAGCCTGTTCTGGGTTTCTGAGACTCCAATCAGATGTCCTGTGTTTACTTCTGTAGTAGTAACCAATTAGGCCAGCTTCCTTCAACTAATGAAACCCAGGAAGTGCCTGCCTCCCTCCCACTTTGAAATTCTCCAATAGTCTCATTTCCCCACACTATCAGTGACTGTGATCAACAATAAAAATCAGACAAGGTCACTGAGCCAGCAATAGCACAAAGCAATGACAGCATCTGAACAGTGTCCAGCTGTGAACTGGCAATGCTGTGCTAAACCACCAGCAGAGACAAATATCAGGAACAGCCCAAGGAAAGAGACCCTGCTTCTGACCAGGCAACTAAATTACGCAGCTCTGCTTATGACCCACTTTCATTTTATTTAGACCTATCAGTTAATGTATACTTTAATTATATGCTTCTTCCAAAACATTTTCATATTTATATAACTAAATAAATAAACAATAGAGGATGATAAAATCGAATGGTATATAATTATCCCATATACATCATATTATTCTCTTTACAAAAAAAATTTTTTTAAGTTATGGTTTACTTACTAAATGCTAGCTTCCAAATTTCTAACAAAAAAAAAAAAATCTAGAAATCTGAATTCTGGAGTCTACCCAACCATATGAAACAGGTCTTCTGCATACACTTCTTCATGTTTATTTTCTGGAAAACGCAGAGCTCTCTCACATTTGGGAGCCAGCAAAAGTTAATCATTTCAGCAATTTATTTAAAGAGTTTAAACAAAGAGTTATGGTTATTCCAGAAATATGAGAGGTCAACATGAATTTGACCTAGTTCTGGGCTTTGACTGAAAACAAGGAGGAAATAAGACAGAAATAAAAGAGATCAGAAACAAAAATAAGTTGAAATAGTGCAAAAGTGTTTTTTCTCTCTTATATGACACCAAATTTGTTTTTAAGGTGCACACTTAGAGACATGAAGCCTCCTTTGGCATTTTTTTTTAAATATCCTGACTTAAAGACCAAAGAATAAACCTTTTACATCATTAAAGAATGCAACTCTAACTTCCTTCTGTTTTGTTATTCTCCATTGCACTTACCATGTTTCAATATACCACACAATTTACTTATATATTTTGTTTATTGTCTATTTCACTAAACCTAAGGTCCAAGAAAGCCAGCATGTCTTTCTGCTTTGTCTGTGGCTCTGTTTCTAACACATAATACAAGGTGCCCAGCACATAGCTGCTGCTCAGTAATGCTAGCTAAATAAATGAGTGAATGAATGGGCTTGACAAGACCTATAAAAACTGTAAAATTACACAAACAGGCAATGTGCTAATAATGTACATGTATTTATTTTTCTAAGAAGATGGTCCATGGCTTTCATCAGCTTCTCAAAAAAAAGCCAGCATCCAAAAGAGCTCAAGAACCACTGGCTTAGTGAGTCCTCAAGATTCAACCAAGTTTCTCAAATACCTCTTAAATCATTAGAATAGAGAGAGAGAGATTTCACCCTCATGAGGTCATTTGCTCTTTGAAATAAAACAAAACTGAAAGTACTATTATTAGAAGCTGTGGCTCAAAAGCCAGGAAAAATTACCCCAAGGCATAGCTCATATGTCCTGACCCTCTGCCCTAATCTTCTTCACAGCTTGATTCCATGTTCTCTCTTAGATAGGGTTCACCTGGGGGGAGAAAAATCTTACCTTATCCCTTTTTCCCAACCTCAAAGCAGAAAATGAGCTTTCATTCCTAATTCTAATAAGGTGCTAAAACACAATATTTTTAGGCTGGGGACATATAGTTCAATGGCACAGCACTTGCATATCAGGTAAAGTCTCTGGGTTCCATTCCTAGCAACACAGGAATGGAACGGGTATGTGTGTGTATGTATGTATGTGTGTGTGTGTGTGTGTGTGTGTGTGTGTGTGTGTGTGTGTGTTGTGTGCGCGCACACACATGTGTATCTCTATCTATCTAAGATAGATAGATATAGATATGCAGGGAGGAGGCATTGGGAGGCATGCAGATAACTTAAGCAAGGAGAAACGAGAAAAATATGCTCCTACCTGAGAACCACCAACCGCTGCCATTCATACTTTATGAATAAAGTATATACTACTCATCTAATAATCTCTATGCTAAATGTTAATAAATTTCATCCTAAGTAAGGCTAGTGTATTTAAAGACCAGTAGTCTACAGTCAAGTTTCAAAGGTCTGGAAACATCATCTGAAGATTTCTTTTCCAGTTCTGGAAGTCTTATCCAAGGATTAAAAGCCATCCACTCTATGCCATGCCTTACTTACTGCTCATAATCCACATTCCAAACTTGCCAGGTATCTACTTTCTAGAATACATCATACACTTTCTCACCTTCATGATCTTGTTCTTGCCACCCTCTACCTGGAAAACCACTGTCAAAAGACTTCTTAGCTGTTTAGGCCCAGTGAAAACAGATACCTCTTCAGTGAAGTCCTATCTAACCCCACTAAGTCAAAATTAATCACTTTCTTTGCTATACCTCTAAAGCACTCCAGATCAGAGGTGATTATCTATGTGTACTCTCCTGCTGAACTAGGAACCTGTGAGCACAGGTTATGCTATTTACTTTGTTCGCTCAAAACCTAGCACTCTAGCTTATCATAGGATAGAGCAATTAACTAACTTGAGTGTACCACTCATACCAAAGCTTAGTAATATATGAATTAAGAGTACAAAGGACTTTGAAAAGACAAGTGCTACCTCTTTGGAACATGGAACACTGCTGTGATCCTTCTCCATTATCAGCCATCTGAGAACATTTGAAATAGAGAGGTTTTTCCATGTTGGCCAAGGGTTAACAAATCTACCATCTTTTCCCTTTTTTGACTTAGTTACATCTTCCTCTAGTCTGTAATCCAGCTTGAAGCTTTTCCTAGAAAACCTAGAAAAATTACTTCCTCCAGAATTCGGAGCTGAATTTTGGCGTTTTCTTACTGCTTCTTTAGGATACTGGCTGCTTGTCATCAGGGACTGGCTGCTTTCACTTTCATCCATGTCCTTTGGTGAAGAACTTAAGGGAAGAAAAAAAAAGAGGGGAGGAGTTTAACATAAAAGCATTAAAACACATTACACAGTATTATTCTTAGTCAATAAAAATTTCCCAAACTGGGCTGGGGATATAGCTCAGTTGATAGAGTGCTTGCCTCACGCATGCACAAAGTCCTGGGTTCAATCCCTAGCACCACACACACACACACAAAAAAAAGTCCTAAATTATAAAAATATTATGTTGTTATTAACTCCCACTTTCTTCCTGTGAAATGGTTTTAGAATCCAATATTTCTGCTTGCCAAATAGAAAAGATGTTCACCTTACTTATTAACCTAACAAACCTTTCAAAAATCTCTTCTCTGCTAGAATCTAAAAACAACATATTTCCCTAGCCAGCTTTTAAATATTTGAAATCTTCCATTTCAATGACATTCTTTCGATTAAATTAAAGAACCTTCATGAGTCTATAATGTTTTCATATCTAAATTTTTAAAATACTGTCTTTAATAATACATAGTAAGGATTGCTTTAGGACACCTCAGTAATTAAAGTGACTGTTTGAGTCAGCTTTTTTGCTGCTGTGATCAAAAGACCTGATAAGAACCATTTTAAAGGAGGAAAAGTTTATTTGGGGCTCACAGTTTCAGAGGTTTCAGTCCACAGATGGCCAACTCCATTCCTCAGAGCCTGGGGTAAGGCAGAAAGTATGTGACTGTGGAAAGCAGTTCAGAACATGGCCACCAAGAAGCAGAGAAAGCTCTCACTCAGCTCACCAGGGACAAAATATTAACCCCAAAGGCACACCCACCACAAACTACCTCCTCCAGCCATATCCTACCTACCTATGTTTACCAATCCCTTAATCCATTCAAGTGAATTGATGGACTGATTAGGTTAAGGTTCTAGTAACCCAACCACTTCAGATCTTTTTTTTTAATTTAATTCTGATTTGTTATACATGATGGCAGAATGCAATTCATTTCATATTTAGCACAATTTTTTAAGACACTGGTTGTACACAAAGTAATTTCACACCATTCATGTCTTATACATGTATTAGGGTAATGAAGTCTAACTCATTCCACCATTATTCCTACCCCCTAGCACCTTCCTTTCCCCTCCCTCCCCTTTGCCCTATCTAAAGTTCCTCCATTCCTCCCATGCTCCACCCCCAGTCGCTTTTATGAGGCTGCACCCTCATATCAAAGAAAACATTTGGCCTTTGTTTTTTGGGGATTGGCTTGCTTCACTTAGCATTATATTCTCCAACTTCATCCATTTACCTACAAATTCCATGATTTTATTCTCTTTTAATTCTCAGTAATATTCCATTGTGTATATATACCAAAGTTTCCCTATCCATTCATCTACTGAAGAGCTTCTAGGTTGGTTCCATAATTTAGCTATTGCAATCAATTCAATTCTAAACTTTCTTGCATTGTCTAAACCATAGCTTTTGGGGGTCACCTCATATCTATACCATAACACACATAACCCCACTTGGCCTAGGAATTTTTATGCTGAAATAACCTGATACCAATACCCTTGGAAAGTCCAGTGAGTTCAAGTCCCAGGAAAGGAGATAACACACTGACAGATATTTTAATAATATATTTAACTGTTTAACAATATAAATCTGAATTAATTCAGACTCAGAACTGCCAACTTGGTGTAGTATGTATTCTAACTACGTGACTATGGACAAGTTTTCTATCTTTCTGTTTCTTTATTTCCTCAACTGTAAAATAGGGATTAAAATGTTACCTGCCCTCAGGGTTACTGAGCAGGTAAAACAAGTAAAGCATTTGGAGACACAGTGACACATACACTTGGCAACAGCTCAATGTTGACTGTTGTCAATGACTTTGTCCTTACGGCTACGACATCTACCACTACTGACTGCTTGACTCAAGGCATTGAAATCCTTGAATGTGAACTATTCAGGACTGCAGATACATCACACAGTGACAAATAATGTATTAAGAGTATGAATTTAATCTGCCATGAATATCATTTCTTTCCTCTTCTGTTAAACAAACATTTGCTTTCTGCTTAGTTGATTTACATATAATACAAACATATAACACACTTTATAACCCTAAGAAAATAAGCACAATAACAGAAAGTCAATAATTATTTTTGTGGCTTCAATGAGGATTAAATAGAAATACTGCCCAGCAGAGAAAGGGAAAGAACACAAACCCCAGAAAGTCCACATATGCTAAACCAAAACTTTTTTTCCCAAACTTTAGAGTAAATAGTCTATAGCCTGGGGAATAATCACCATGAAGAAAAGAAACCACAGCAAACAAAAGCTAAAGCACTCACTGCTGCCTGCAGGAATGCCTAACATCTGAGCAAGAGCCTAACAAGCTATATATCTTGGACAAATAACTTAACCTTTCTAATTCTCCATTTTCTCACCTGTAAAATGCCTGCCTATTTGTGGAGGTTTCAAAGGATTAAATGATATAATGTACACAAAGTGTTTGGCACATACAATGCCAATTCCTTTTTCTCTAACCCTGTTAACTGGCCAGACATCTAAATTCTTTAATTACTGTGAGAATTTTAAAGGGATCTGAGTGAGGTATCTCAGCTCCCACAGAATCCCTTTTCTTGGGTTATAATTAAGTCCAAACTCTCAAGGTAGATATTATAATCCCCATTTCTTTAATTGAAGCACTCAGAAGTAAATAGCCTAGTTGAAAGACAACGAGGTAGTGACAGGAAGAAAAAACAAAACAGAATAAATGCAAGAGTCAAGAGGCTGAGTCAGTAAATCTTGAGAGTATTCAGATGGTCTTGAATTTTTGGACTCTTTGTAGAGCAGGTGGTGGGGATGCATTATAGAGTGGGAGGGGTCAGAAATGGCAGCCTCACTGATCAAGTTGGATTTCTGACCCAGTCACTTTCAGATCATGGGGATGCAAGAATCCAAGAGGATGGCCAGGTGTGGTGGCACATCCCTGTAAGCCCAGTGACTTGGAAGGCTAAGGCAGGAGGAAAAAAAAATTAAAAGAATGTTACTCACTGACCCACCCAGCAGACATACATAACCCTGGGAGCCAAGCTGCTTTGGGGGTAGTGAATTGGGAACAGCCCAGAGACATAGGGAGCCTGCTTGAAAGCCCGGAGAGTAAAACAGGAGAGCAACATGGGTTCAGTGATCTGTTTTTTCCCCAAATAACATGATTTTTCAAAACTGTTTATTCCTGCTACTTCCATTTTCTTACATCCCATCCACTCCATGGAAACAGGTCCCCACACCAAATGACTATCCTCTCTCACCACCTTCCCATCCTCCCTGCACAAATCCACACAAAATCGTCATCGGGGATGACTTTACAAAGACAAATCTGATACAAACAACAAACCCAAAAGGAAAAACGTCCAAAGGGTCCCTTCTGCTTGGCAACCAAAGGTCAGTAAGATGGCTCACAAGGGTCTGGGTTTCTGGCCCTGCCCTCCCCACCTCTGCTCTAAACACACAGTCATGATCTTACTTTCTCAGATGCATAGTGCTCCTCCCTTAGGGGCACCAAATGCCATCATGGGGCCTTTGCATATGATTTTTTAATATCTGTAGGACAGGAAGAGGGAGGGTGTAAAAATGGATATTCACAGATTATGTATTACTAAGACACATGTCAGGCAACACAAAATATGATACCACAAAGCGCCATTTCACACCATGCTTTGTAAGTGAAATAATGGAAAGGAGCAGAAGCACGTAGAACCCTGAACCCTGACAATCTGGATTGGTTCTGCCAGAAGAAGTCCATTCAGTGAATGTGCAGAAGGACAAGCTCTGCCAACAAGTGCCTCAGTAACGAACTGAACTTCCACCCACAGAGACATAGGGAACCTGAGAGCCAGGTCATGGAGGTCTGCTCACCAACATCAGTCTTGTGGTCACTCTGTTAGTGGATAAAGCAACACCCTCACCGTCTGTAACACCACCTATAAACACCAAAATGACATAAAAACTAATAGAAGAATGAGTTTTATGTATGCTCCTGAGAGTAACTAACCAACTTTATTATAAAAAGGACAATTTACTATAAAAAGGACAACATAAATTCCATCCAGTAATTATCAAGCACATTCTCTACATTTCTTTGAATATTAGTTGCCCATTTAATTGCATAAGGACTCAACCCCTAGATCTTTAACCAAAAAGGGGTCTGGACTGTGACATTTGGTGAAGAGAAGTCAGCCAAGTACAAATATTTTACTTCAATAACTGCACACATGGGCAAAATGCTTTCCAAAAACAAGAATTCTCTATTAAAAAAGCAAATGTTTCATGCTTTCTTTCTTTGACATTTAAGACTTGCCAACTCCCTAGAATTGAATGTACTGCTTTATCATTTAAAAGTTAATGAAAAAGTTTAAAAAAAAAATCATGACAGTATAACATGTTTGGGATTTCAACATATCCATAAATTATAAAATAGCAAATCAGCATTCCTAGAATAGACATTCAATAAATCCTAATTGAGTGACCATCCATTTATAGAATAATCAACACACTAACATTAAATTTGAGAAGTATTCAGAACTGTATTTTCAGGTATCTGATAGAATAATATTAAATTTAGAATTCTGTATTTTCTTTCCTTATTTTTATCGAAGAGAAGTTTCCTTTTTTTGTTTTTGTTTTGAGACAAGCTCTTACTATGTCACCCAGTTTGGCCTCAAACTCCTGAGCTCAAGTGATCCTCCCACATCAACCTCCCAAATAGCTGGGACTACAGGCATGCACCACTGCACTCAGCTAGAAAAGGGTCCTTTGACCACACTGTGAGATAACATAGCTAACAAAACCACTGCAGTTCACTGAAATGTCTGCCGAGGGCTTCAGTAGAGTAAAATGGAACTCTTCCCATCTCTCACTTTCCACCAGACACCATGTGAGACCCCACAGACACTGAAAGAACTGGTGGGAGGCAGGTATGTCCAAGCATGGGAAACACACTGGACAATGAAAGGGAGAACTTGCTGAGGGAGGCAGAC